AATATCATAGTTTTACACCAACACGAGGATAATCTAAACATCATTTTGTTTGCCTGCCTAAGACTTTTGCACAGTACTGTACACACACTTTTACATTTAATTATGCATAAACAAACACAGATACACATTTACTCCCCTGTCAGTTTCTCTTCTCAACATTCCCGCTGTTTCTTTAGTAACGAACCCATCTGCTACTATCCACAGAGACCCTCTGATCCAAAGTGGCACAGCTGTACACCAAGGGTCACTTTGCAGCCCAGGGAACCTGAGGGTGTGCAGCTACAGGAAGATCAGCCACTTTACCACTGGCTACCACAGACCAACTAAGCTACCAACCATTTACTCACTACATAACCAGCCTGACCCCTAACATTTTCAGCTACTTGCTCTGACTCCTTTTTAAAACAAAATAAACCAAAATATTATTTTGTGTTGTGAGATTCCAGTCATCAGTTTTTCTCATAGAAAAACATCACATGCTCAGTGCATTTTAGTCAGTGGCCTACCCACGCACGCACACAAACACAGGTGGCTTTTATCAGCGATGAGTTTATACTCATGTGAAGAGAAAGGAGAACTGCAGCCAGCATTTCCCCCCACATTCAATGGCAATGGTGGGGTAATCAGGTCAACTGGCTGAAAAAGGCCCAAAACAAAATGGTATTTTTGGGATTTTGACTCCCACCTCCAGTTTGGATAAGCAGACTATTCACTTAAAGTGACACTGACAAGAGACTTAAAGCCTTTAGATCTAATCACACAGGAAGCACACTGCAGTGAGCCGGTGTGTCAGGATGAAAGGCTGGCAGGTAACTGAGGCACGACACCCAAAGATAGACTCCTGTACCCGAAGTGAAGGAGACGCTACTCACTCACGTTTTTCCCGGGGACTCCTTCATCCAGAAGATGTCATCGCTGGAAATGCCATGTTCCACTGCACCTGGGACCTGGGGATGTTGACAAAAAAAGTGAGGGGTGTTAGGGTTTCTAATTATCCAACCTGGGTGTAGACAACCCGAGATCAGAAGATGTGGGAAGGGGTGGAGGGGGTGGTCATAGTCCACAGACCACTGAATTTCTGAGAAGAACAAAAACAGGTACTGAGCGACAGCTCGGGTCAGACTCACATGCACGGGGTACTTTGGCCGGCTTCCAGTGGCAATCACAATGTCCTGGGTGGTCAGCACCGTCTGGGAACACAGCAACCAAGAGGCTTAAAGCCCCCTGGGGGTGGAGTTACCCCCTTACCCATCGCGGTGGGCGGCATTCGTTTACCTCCTTCCCAGATTTGTTTGTTCCTATAACAGTATGCCCATCTGTCAGCTGGCCTTTCAGGTTAAAATACTTCACCTTCCTGTCAAAAATCAAGTGGGGAAACATGGGTGTGAGGGAAGATACTCAAAGGGCTACAAGCATCAGAGGAATCAATGCTCAGGGATTTAAGGCGGTCAATGCTGAAAGCAATAGACCACATTTCCCAGCATGCTGTGCTGTGTCAGGCCACAAGACTCACCTGTCCTGCAGCTGCACCCTGTGACCCCAGTTGAGAGACTTGACATAGTTCTGCACGGCCAAGCTCATGGTGGCCCTGAGCATGCGGGAAACCACAATCAGAAACACGCATCCCTCTAGCATAGCCGGGGAAAAGGGATTTGCTGGAGTGTTCTCCAAATACAGTGGTACCTCGGTTCTCGAACTTAATCCGTTCCGGACTCCGGATCGAATCCTAAAAAGTTCAAGTTCTGATTGAATTTTTCCCATAAGAAATTATGGAAAACCTATTAATTGGTTCCCGCCCCCCCCAAATTACACCTAAATATGTTTTTTTTTTTTTAGCATTTAAACACAAAATGAACAGGATAAAACAAGAGCAGCATTTTTTTTCTTAATGGCTTCCAAAACGATAAAGATTTTATCCCAACATTACCCCTGTCCTGCCCCAATCGTCCACTCCTTCCGTGTGCCACGCCCCCTCATTAACCTCGTGTGGGATCCCCATGTGATCAGCTGTTTCTGGTTGTTGTCATTAGTCCTCTGTATTAAGTCCGCGTTTCAGTTTGTTTCCCCAGTCCGGTCATTGGGTGCGTTCGACTTGCTTATAGCGCTGGCTTAAGGCAACGCATTCTGATCCTGACGCAATGCATTACGGTTAGATGCATTGCGACCTCTCACCCGGCTGCACAAACTGGAACCGCCTCTGTGACGACACACCTTTGCCCTTATTGGCTGAAGAGTGTAGTTACACGCATGATGTTTGTGTCCCAGGCAGTTCAGATGCATAATCTGCCATTTCTCCCGAATATCACGTAAAGCAGTGAGAACTGGTTTTCCGTTAATTTACCTGGTAAAATAAAGTTTAAATAAATGACATAAATGCTCTAATAGTACACGTAAGTTAGTGGTTTATTTATTGTTAGTTACTGTAATGTTGCGCTGCTTTATTTGGTTAATCGTCCAGTCTGTGAAGAAGGCATTCAAGTAAGAATTGCATTGCAGTATGACTCATTTCCTGGCGCATACAATTTATATTAGGTCGGCGTTCACGGTTTGACTTCTGATATTCAGATCGAGTTCTAGGTCAAACTGGTTTGTTCAACTTTCAAGAAATTCGAGTTCTAGTGAGTTCGAGAACCCCGAGGTACCACTGTACTTGTTTTGAGACCAGCTGCACCCTGTAAGCACCTAAGACCTGAAGTAATTACACTCCTTAATTGGAATCTACTTAGTTGCTCTATAGCAAGGTTGTCAGTTTCAAAAGACACTGACAAACGTACATAAGCACACAACCCCAGATAAAAGACCAGCCAATAAAAGTATGCCTTTCAGTTAAATCAAAAATGGTTGGATAGTTAAACTAACAAATTTCAACCAACCCATGCAATAATTTTATCATCATAATCAGATTCAACATTTTAGAGCAGAAGGCCTAAATTTAAGGTTAATTTAACAACTAACACTGGAGGGCACCATACAGTCCATTTCAGACCAAAACGATCTTCTATTCATATTTTTGAGATGGTCAATGATTAGGGTTTAAGTTTCATTGTACTGCCATATAAAATATATGGTAAATATATGGTAAAAAGTAAGACAGTGCAGTAGAATACACCTCGCCCCCAGTACTTGCCAGCAATGAGAAGGCTGGTGGGGGACATTCCAGCCATACTTGGCGGCGTCCTTCAAAGCCCCTCCCAGCAGGGCAGACTGGTGCATGAGCTTTTTGGGGATGCAGCCTACGTTCACACAGGTCCCCCCCAGACCCCACTTCGTGCCTGAAACCAAACCCAACCCCTGGATTTACAACCAAATCAGACACAGATTATTTAAATTGTGAAGATGGCTGTAATAACACTAACATAATAGACACCTGCGCGCACACTCTCACCTTTAGGCGACGGATCTACGTAGTCGAGGACGGCAACTTTCTTCCCATACTGAGCAGCTGGACGAGTGAAGAGAAGACAGGGACGTTACCAGCAGGCTGCGACAGCACGTCAGCGGCCGGACAAGAGGCTTTGGGTTTTCACAAGGTACCCAACGGCCCCAATACCCGAATTATCGGCGCATAGAGCAAAACCTAGTTTAAATCACTGTTTTGGACCTATGCAAGGATATTAACGACCGGGTCATCTAACAGAAATACCATCATCACCTGTCAAAATAAGGCATACCTTCTTTGGCACAGGCCAGTCCCCCGGATCCTCCGCCAATAACCACAATATCATACTCATATTTACCTGCAAAAAGGCACCTGTTATAGATTTTACGTGTGTCACTTGGCATATAAAAGAAAATAAAGCGTTGAGTAAATTAATCCAATATTTGAGATGTATAAATATAGCAGACCTACATAAAATATTACAATATTCACATATAAAAAATAAGCCTATTATTTTCTTCTGTGTCACATATGCACTGCGGGAAAAATATTAACTGTCCGTAATGAATACTGTTAGTTACGGTGTATTGATATTCACATTAAAACGACTGTAATATTTTAACACGTTTGTAAAATAAATCTTATCTGAATCTTTAACCGGCTCTATATTATAAAACTCCGTATATTGAAATATTGATTCGTCACTTACGTACATACCTGAAAACCCTCTTACTAAACTGTGACAAAATATTATTCGTTTAAACCGGCGTGCGCCTTTACACAAGGCGGCCATGTTGTTATTACCAAAGGACCTCACCCGTAATTTAGGTGTCCAACACTCTGCCGGCTTTAATATTCTCATTTATTTAGGAATGCAATATTATGCCTGTTTTTTTGCAGCTTTCAAGAAAAGAAAAGGCTGCACTGGTCCCATGAAAAAGGTCAAAATATAATTTCACCTCAGTTTCAGTTTCAGTTTCACCTCTCTGAGAAAAGTCCGAGGTCAGTAAAACCAAAGCCAAATGAATCCATCTGATTCTTTAGGATTCGGTGTTATTGACATTGTGCTTGGTGCTTTATGTCTCACCTCCCTGCAGTTACCCTGACAGACAGTAAAATCCCAACACAGTTACTGTCTCTATTCATTCCTGGCACACATTCTGTTGATTGATTTATTTATTAGTATCCTCATGTTGTGTTTTATGTGTACCTCTATGCAGGTAGGCCTATGTAAGTTCTATGTTAGTGTAACACCACCACCAGGAGTAGATCAACCCTTGTATATTCCTGTAATAGCTCTTGACAAATGAACGTGATTCTGATTCTGAAAGTAATCAGGCTTCCCCACATTTCTCAAACATTGTTTCTTAGATATAGTTTGATTTCGGGGGGGTTGGTGGCTCAGTGAGTATCACTGTTGCCTCCCACCTCTACTTTTGGGGGTTTGAGTCCCATCTCTACTCTGTGTCTGCATGCTGTCACCCATGATACTCCCCACAGTGCAAAGATGTGGCCTCATAGGTGTTTCTCACATAACCATGATGTATATTTGTGTGTGCATGTGCCCTGGGATACCCTCTGTGAGCGGGATGCGCCCTGGGATACCCTCTGCGAGCGGGAGGCACCCTGGGATACCCTCTGTGAGCGGGACCATAATAAGCAGGTCAAAGATGGATGAATTCATTCTTTTTGCGGTATCAGTCATCATGCCCCAATTACCCCATAATGACAAATTGAAAACATGATTTGTTTGGATTAAAAAAACAACTTTATTAAACATTAAAGAACGGAAACTCTCATTTAAGTAAATGACAGACAGGAGGACTGGCTGGGTGTGGCTGTAGAGGGGTTCAGTTCTGATTCAGCGGAGGAGGGTGATGGAGGCCAGCAACGCCAGCAGGGTGGGGGGGCGAAGCTGCCCGGTGCGTCGGGCACTATTGCACAGCTCACCATGGCAACATTTCACCCTGGCGCCGAGCAGTGAGCTCAGCTGAACGGTGTCCTCATCAACTGGGCAGAGGTTCTCAGATACGCATCCCCTATAATTCTCCCTTTTTGTCAAATTAATCCAAACTTACAGCAAAAGAGAAATAAGAATTTTCATTAGAAACAGGAATTTAATTTGCCCTGGGGCTGATTAAAAATGCAATGTAGGCCTGCCTAGAGTGTAGATTAACTTTGGAGAAAATGCTGGATATGAAGTGATATTCCTGTTACCTTCTAGTTCCTGTGAAGTTGTGTTCAGGATGGTTGGTATCCTATATCAAGATGCTTCCAGAATATGGTGCAATATACATTATAACCCAAACAGTACTGTATGTTAAAGATGCGATAATGTTACATGTTATATATATACTGTTGAAGTCAATTACTTTTATGTGGCTTAGCTAAGGATACCAAGCCTTGGCTAATGTGTGCAAGTGGATAAATGCTTCACTGAAACTAGTTTTACCGGTTAATTTGAAGCTCATTTACTATGATTTCTGCATAATTGATGGTGCAAGATTGTCTTTTAGAAAAACTGGGCAAACACGAAGCATCACTTTCACACGTATTCTTACCTGTAGCAGTAAAGCAAATATTTTCATTTCTTCGACAGTCAATGGTATGTGAGCAGTTGTTCTTTTCGCAGCTGAAACACTTCTTTCCATTCTGGGAAATGTCAGTAGGTACTGTAATAAGCCAAAGTATTGTGAAATGATTATAAAACATTTAAATCTAATGAAGCAAAGAGCACCAAAGAGGAGTGTGTCTGTGGTCTGCCTTTATCTCTTCCTCTTCCCCAGTGACTTTTCTGCTTGATACTTCTGACTGGTCCTATGTTCTCTCCCTGTGTCACATGGTTCTGTCTGCTGTCCCCACCCTGAGAGCAGGACCTGTGCTGTCCTATCAGGACACACCCTGAACACCCCAACCTAGTGGTAGATGGTGGTTGTGGGAAGTGTAGTCCCTCATAATTACCATTGAGCGTTCCATCATTGCAGAAGTCACTGTCACAGCACTCGGTGTGGTACAGAACCCTTTCAGAACCGAAGCTCACGGAACCAGAGGAACACTGTTCAGGTTCCACACAGCCCTTTGTGTGTGTAACTCTCGGAACTGTGCCTCCCTCTGGAAAGAAGAGGATGTACAGAATGCATTTTGGTGCATATGAAGCCACTTCTTTCTATGTTGCTTTGATTGAGTTGGGCTGTTACGGTGCTGCCCTGTAAGCTGCGACACCAGAGGCAACCAGGCGAACTCCAGCTACATGCTGGTTCTGCCCTTCAGGTACCATTCAGCGCACGAAGCAGTTTATCATCAGCTGACCTTCGGCAGTTCACTTGTGAACAGAAGTGAAAGCAGTTTTCATAGTCTTGCAAGGCAACTATGGGTAACTAGAAATTTCAGTTCACATAGTAAAAACACGGTAGGAAATATCAAGTGTTCATAGTTAATATCTATTCCTGTAAACCATTTATATAGTAATTAAAGCCATTTATACAGTTTTCACTTGTCACATCACAGCTACTTCTATACTGCAGCCTTACCTTTAGCAAAAATGGCACTTCCACAGCGAGAGACTGTAGACAAGCACATTTTATACCCTTGGCATAATGTTTGGTTGTCACTGACACAATCATAGCACCTAAGTGGACAAGCTGAAAGACAATAATAATGTCAGCAATACTCTTAATCATGAAATTATATGAAGCAATTAATGAAATTCAAAGAAACTTTGTCCTGCTGCTGTTACACTCCCGTTTTATTTTCCTAATCTTCATCGATCAAGACCCTCAATGCTTGCAATGAAGCAAGCTCTCATAGACCATAACATGCTGCTGATTTCCAAATCAATGCACAGCCCCCCCCCCCGATGACAAAGGTCTTTGGTTATAAGGCACAGTACCTTTGGAGAAGAGCAGACAGGCCAGAGTCAGCTGAAGGAGGCGTTCCATCGCATACGGTCCACTTTGGGGACGGTAGAACGCGGGTTCCCCAGTTTCTGAGGGTCTGCAGGGCTTAGGGGAGCTGGAGATGTTACACTCCTCCAACTTCAGTGAATAATTGTTGCAGCAGGATTCATACTGGTTTTTCTTTCACTTCATACCTTCCTGTAAAAATCAGTGAAATGCTGCTTGTTTACAGCCCTTAAGCCGTGATGATGCCTCTGAAGGTCTTTGGGGATCCTGCAGTTTAGGACACGCTCTTGGAGGCTGGAATTTAAGCACTGCGGAGATGAGATTCCTCCTGCAGCAAAGCCATGCTGACGCAGGGGAAGCTTGTACCCAAAGCCGGTCTTGCAGAAGGCAACATGAGACGGGCGGCCAGCCTGTATGTGCTGGGATTGGCTTGCATCTCTATGGATTATACATATTTATACATATTTGCAAACTTCTCAGTGGATCACACTTCTTTTTTTGGTAGGAAACTATAGCCTGTAGCCTGACACCACATCAAGGGATCGGAGGACAGATGGATGGCAGCGGCAGCGCTTAAGAGCAGGCATCCAGTTATTCCACTCCCCCTCTAAATTGTTCTGTGTAATTTCACTCATGCGACTTTGGTGATTTATCATGTAAAGGCTTTAAATAGTGTTTCCCTGTTTGACTCTTCGATCACTTGTTTTATTTGTCCCTGTTAAGGGCAAATGGCTGAAATAACATGTGCGAGGTTCCTTTTGCTGAGCGAACCCATTGGTCGGACTATTCATCATGAATCGGAGGAGTGAGATAGTGAAGGACGACTATAGGAGGTGCAGCTGGTTGATATAGCAGGATCGCAATGGGGGGTGGGGGGGGTTTGGCGGGCAGCTGGGTGTATCTCACACAGCTCTCCAGGGCAGCATTCTTCATCAGCACTCAGAAATGGGACAGCTGAATATTATGGCCACTACCCCTCAACATAGTGGGTGGGTCAGGTCCAGAGTGTTGAAATCCAGACCAAGATTTTGTTTTGACCAACTGAATACAAAGAGTCACAGGCACAGCGTACTTCACTGGTTGGTTGAAACAAAATCTTGGTCTGGACTTTTACTCTCTGGAACTGAATTACCCACCTTTGCCCCTCACTGTAAAATTAAATTTTAAAACAGAAATAAGAGTTTTCATTAAGTTTTGTTACATTAATAACAAATGACAATAGAGGGCTATTTTTTCCCCAGGCATGGTTTATTGGAAACACACCAAACTGATTCTCTACAAACCTTTTATTTCACCTTTTTATTTGACAAATGTGTCACTTGCACCAGGATATTAGTGGATTTAGGATATATTCTCAGTGTCGCGTCATCACCCTACGAGAGCATTTCAACAGTGAACTTTTATGAAATCAATCCGGTTTCATATCCCGTTTTTATGGTTTATAATACAAGGTTTTACAAGGCAGAACCCTACGGGTGGTCTATATTACACCAAGAACAGTGTGTGTATGTGTGTGTGTGTATAGGGGAAGGGGGGGTGTTACAGAAAAGGGGAGAAAGCGGGGGCTGGAAGAAGGGAGTGTGAATATGTGTGTGTGTGTCTGTGCGTGTGTCTGTGCGTGTGTGTGTGTGTGTCTGTGCGTGTGTGTGTGTGTGTGTTCGTGTGTGTGTGTGTGTGTGTCTGTGCGTGTGTG